CCCTGAGTTACTCAGCAACGAAATGTGATCTGCGAAGCGCAGGTTACTAAGGTATTCTCTATTAACTTTTATCCCTAACTGTTCCCATTCTAGGCCTCTGAAAACTTCCTGTAAGCACGCGGTAAATAGCATTGGGGAGATTGTATCCCTTTGCCTTACACTCTTCTTGATTGGTATTCTGTTGCTTTCTTTATGAAGCATTATGGCAGCAGTTGATCCCCTGTAGATGTATTCCAGGATGTTTGTATATGCTTCATCGACGCCCTGATTCCGCAGTGTCGGCATGACTGATGATATTTCTACTGAATAAAACGCCTTCTCGTAATCTATGAAGGCTATGAATAGTGGATGGTTATATTCTGAGCATTTCTCTATTATTTGATTGATAGTATGAATGTGGTCGATTGTTGAGTAGCCTGATCGAAATCCTGCTTGTTCCTTTAGTTGATCGAACTCTAATGTTTTATTAACTCTGTTAGCAATTACCTTTGTAAATAGCTTTTATACTACGGAGAGCAAGCTGGTCGGCCTGCAATTCTTTAAGTCCTTGTCACCTCCTTTCTTATGTATTAAGATGATGTTAGCATTCTTCAAGACTCTAATACTCTTCCCGTCGGGAGACACCTCGTAAACAGGGTGGCTAGTTTTTCTAACACAATTTGTCCTCCATCTTTCAGCAGATCTGATGTTACCTGATCCTCACCAGGAGCTTTGCCTTTTTGCATGCTCTCCAAAGCTTTTTTGACTTCTTCTATCATCACTGGTGGGGTGTCAACTGGGTTACTGCTAGTTCTTATAGTGTCAAGGTCGTGGTTGTCCCGGCTACTGTACAGATCTCTGTAAAACTCCTCCGCTATTTTAACTATCCTATTCATATTGGTTGTTATTTTGCCTTCTTTGTGCCTTAGTGCATACATCCGATTTTTGCCTATCCCAAGTTTTCTCTTCACTGCTTTGACACTTCCTCCGTTTTTCAGAGCGCGTTCAATTCTCTCCATGCTATACCTTCTTACATGTAAGAATGTATAACACGGAGAGAAATGTGTGTACTACCCATCATTCCCATGCTCGCTAAAGCGCCGTGCTATGGTGCCTAGGAGGAGAGGTGTCAGCATCGGCGTGCCGGAGAGCGATCGAAAATTGCGATTTTCGATCGCTCTCCTCTGGATGCGGCGGCGCTGCGGTTGCTTTCGATCGAGATGCCCCTCCTCGCGCCCGCGCATCAGTCGTTTTTCGTTGCAAATATTTCATGCTACCCTGTGGATTATAACGAAGTCCACCTGTCACAATTCTAGCGGTGGCCTGCAACGTGTATTGGCACAGAAATTTAGTGTTTTCAATTCACTTTGTAGTATATCAGCTACGAAGCTTAGAAAATATAGAATCAAGTGACTTGCCTTGAACTTGACACCAGAACAAAGTCCATGCAGTTTTCACTTCGATGCCGCAGTTTTCGCCGTGGAGTCTCAGAGCGCGTAAAGGTATCGGCAACAAGTATTTTTATGAATTGTGCAATCAAGGTATAGTTTTACAAGCAATACATTTATTTTCAAGAAAGCGAGAAACACCATGAAAAATAAACACAACATATGCATTAAGGTTGGAGATAATTGCAAGTTATACGAAACTCCGCTAAAGCAAGTGAATAAGGCAACTAAAAAGAACATCAAATATACGATGATACAAAGGGCATACATGCACATACATGCAAAGGGCATACATACATGCACACATGACATTGAGATTTGATTGGCAAACATAGATACAGTCACAAACCAGTTCACGAAAAAAAATGATTTCTGTATATGTAAAACACAGCCAGACAGTGGCATCCAAGTCGTTTATGAGAGATTCGCAACAACGGGAACAAGACAATGGTGAAATCACAAGAAACAGCATAGTGTGAGTAATGCACAATAACATAATATAAAACCTTGTTCGCTGGGTTAACACTGTGACAGTTAAATCATACGTCTCAACTTCGAGAAATTCATTTTCTCTCTCTCTCTTTTTGATTAGACGCATTTTCTCTAGAAACAAGAAAATGCATTCTGGTCAGTGTAAAGAATCTAATTATCTGATTGGTCACTTACAGTTTGTGTTGTGCACAGGCGACCATATTTAACCTCTTCACAAACAGGCAAGAGACAAGATCTAGTTATGCTGTCACTTTTCAACTTGTTGAAACTGAAGAAATAGGTGAATGCATATTCCGTAGCTTTGACCAGGTCTCTTAAGGGCTCGGACGGGTACAAAAGGCATGATTCTGCCGGAAGCAAGCTGGAATTCTTAGAGTGAAACAACAATTAACCTTCTACATTTCATGCACATTGTCTTTTTCACCATTTCCCGGGCCACATAGCCACTGACGTAATCAGTGACCCGGGAGTCACTTTTGCATTCAATGAGATCAGTGTGGTCAGGAAGGGCTTCATAAGCAACAATCATTTCATGAACCTCATTGAGGCGCCCCACATCTAGCAGACCATTCAGCTTATTATGCAATTTCATTGAATGATTGGGGATGCCTGGACATAGAAGGCTGCTCAGAACTCCATAAGGTATGCTTCCACTGGAGGGTGACTGCCAAGCTGTAACTGAGGCAATTCACAGAGACAAAAAATTGCATCGGCGAAGTGTGATCACTCGAGCCAGACATTTGCTTCAGAATTCAAAAAAGATTTTAAGCGCGTCTTGGCAGATAAATCAAGTATTTGTAGCCCAATGTTTTCATGACATAGTGCCGGATGGATAGGGTGCTGGTGACGCAGAGTCCTTTGCCAGATGTTAAACTCAGGAACCCACCCTCCTTACAGCTTTTTTCCAAGTTGCTAAGAACCCGTCGATAACATTCTTGTAGCTACGGGTGATGAGTCTTTAGTCGAAATGAGCTTCGCGCACAACGCAGTTCTTTTTCAGTGGTTTGAAAGCGCGAAAAATCACACGCTCCCGCTCCCAGGCCTTACACCGTTCATTTTGTCAGCGGGAGCAGAGAAGAGAGACGCTTTCTTCCCTTGTTTGCGGCTCGAAACATATCTCGCATTGCATCCAGGTGCAAAGCAGTGTCTTTGCTGTTTACCCATCACTGTGGCAAGGTCACATTGGCACGTATTCATCCCGAAGAAGTCCATATAGGCAAAGCGCAGACGTCGCAACTCGCGAGCACTCGAGCGAGCGACTAAAGGTGCTGCGCTAGCGGCTGGCGGGTGCTCTCGACCGATCACAGTGGCGACTTGCGCGCCGATCCACGGCGAAATGAAATTCCAGCACGCCTCTTTTCAAGGTGCGGCCGGGACGATGCTGACACCTCTCCTTCTAGCCACCATAGCAGAGCTATAGTGTACTAGAATATTCTAGTACACTATAGCCGTGCGTTGCAGCTCCCATAGGAAAGATGGATGGATGAATGTGGCTGTACCCTTTAGATCGAGTGGCAGCAAACGCTGCCTAGCCGTAATACTTAGTGAACTAACCACTAGATTTATCCCCCTCCCCCCTAAATAGTAAAGTATGGGACTGGTACATTGCAGTGAATGGTTTAACTCGTGCCTTAACTTTGGGCACCAATCAGATAACCTGCTTCTAGTTATTTCTACCCGCTTAAAGTCTATTTTGCCCTCCATGTCCCTAAACCCCAGCGCTTTGAAAAACTCTGCACCATCATCCAGAACTATAGGGTGAAACCCTTTACAGAACATTATCAGCTGTTCGGCAGTTTCCTCCTCCTCTCCACACGCAGTGCATACCGTGTCTACCCCTTCGTATTTGACCCGGTATGTCTTGGTTTGCAATACTCCCGTCCTGGCCTCAAACAGTAGAGAACTACCCCGAGTATTATCATAGATCCTTTCCTTGGCAATTTCCTGCTTAAACGTTTGATAGATCTCTAGTGCGGATTTCTTAATCATGCCCATTCTCCACATGTCAGTCTCTGTTTCCTTCACTTTCTTCTTAACCGATAGTTCTTTTTAGTTTGGCCACCTGCTGTTTTCTAAGTATTTACCAGTCAATTTCCTTGTTCGCTTCCTCCATTTTGTATCGACATTCTTCATGTACAAGTAGCTGAAAACCTTCCTAGCCCAACGCTCCTCCCCCATTTCTCTCAATCGCTTCTCAAATTTTATCTTGCTGCTAGCTTCCCTGCCCTCAAATGATGTCCATCCCATATCACCTTGTACTCCCCGATTTGGTGTATTCCCGTGAGCTCCTAAAGCAAGCCTACCTATTCCACGTTGCTTAATTTCTAATCTTGCTTGAACTTCTGATCTCATGCACAAGACCGCATTGCCGAACGTCAGACCAGGAACCACGACACCTTTCCATATTCCTCTCACAACATCATACCTATTGTAATTCCACAGTGCCCTATTTTTCATCACTGCTGCATTTCTGTTACATTTAGTCGTCACGTATATTTCGTGTTCCCTCAAGTACTCGGTCCCACAGCTTATACATACGCCCAGATATTTGTATTTATCTGTTATCTCTAGCGTGACCTCCTGTATTCTAAGCTCACAACCTTCATTGTCATTAAAAATTATGACTGCTGATTTTTCCTTACTGAATCTGAAATCTAACCTATCTCCCTCATTACCGCAGATGTCCACCAATCTCTGCAAATCTTCCTTGCTGTTGGCCATTAGCACTATGTCATCTGCGTACATTAATGCTGGTAGTGCCTGATCAATAAGTTTTCCTTGTTTGACTAAAGAGAGGTTGAAGCCCAGTCCACTTCCCTGTAATTTCGCCTTTAATCCTTGTAGGTACATCGTTATTAATAAGGGTGACAGGGGACACCCCTGCCTAAGCCCCCGTTTTACTTCTGCAGGCTTGGATACCTGTTTTTCCCTGTTGAATAGGTCTACCTGTTGAATAGGATACCCGTTGATTAGGTCTACCAGCGCCCTCTCTAGGTCGAATAAGTTAGTTCTCAACGCCACCGCTACCCTCTTTTTCGTTGCTTCGTCAAAGGTACACTTTCCGTTCTCCAAGTGGTGTTCTGTGGCAGCATGGTAGGTGTATGTAGGTGTTCTGTGCTGTAGCAGCGGTCGCATGCTCTTCGTTCCTTCGACATGAGGGACCTGCGGAGGCAGCGATGTTCAGTCGTTGGATGCAGACCGAGTGACTGGACAACGGAGCCGCGTCGGCACCAAGTGCCTCGCGGTGGGGCTCTACGCACTGCGTGGCTGGAGAGAATCGGCTATCCGGTGACGCACAACGGGAACCTGTACGTTTGTGGTCGACACTTCGCTCCCGAAGATTACACCATTTACCTTCGGCGGGTGGAGTCGATAAACTTCAAATCAATGCTGAGGCATAAAGCTGTGCCGACGCTTCACCTCCCCGTGAGTATATAGTGCCGATTTCTAGAAACGATTTCACCAGCCTCAGATGTAATAATTGGGGCAAGGTTCTGTTTGGCCATAGTGTACTAGAATAGTGTGTTCAGGCACCTTCTCTCGCCATGCATCGCGTGAAGCGGCGCACGTGGAGAAAAAAAAATCGGTTCTCAATGCGGTGCTGCTGTAGCATGGACTCGGTTCGGACTGTCACGGTGGATGGACGTGTTTTTTGGGCGCTCCCGATCGACTGCGCAGATAAGTGTTTTTTCATGTTTTGAGCTTGTCCATATAATTATAAGGCTGCAGTTGAAATCTTCGTAGCACTTATTTTATGTTACGGCTTTTTCGGGGGCCAGTCACCAGGTATTTATTAGTGCGTGTGTGTGTGTGTTTGAATTTTTTGTTGTTTTTTTTTCTTTTGCCACTCCGTGGGAGAGGTGCGCGTACATTGAACACGCAAATTTTTGTAGTAGAGCTTAGACTTTCTTTTTTTTTTTCGTAGGGCATGGCTCGAGTTTAGTAATTATCGAGTATAGGGACAATTGGTGTCAGAAAGACATGGTTAAAAAGACTGTAATGTGTTCGGGATGTGAAGTGGGTTTGAAAGTGGACCCAAGTGTAGAAGCGGATGGAGAAGAGGCTGACGCGAAGTGTAGGCAATGTGAGGTCGAGGAAAAAATGGAGAAAGTGATGGTTGCCCAGAGTGAACTGCTGATGAGAATCGCCGAGCTTGAGACTGCGTTGGCGACAGAGCAAGAGAAAAACGAGGGCAATGGGAGAAAGGCTGAAGTCCGCCGAGGGAGCACTAGCGAAGCTGAACAAAAGAGCGGCCTACTGAGAGAACAGTAGGAAACCGGCAACCAGAACGGCGGAGAAGAAAGAGCGAGCAAGTTTGGAAAAAACAGGTTCAGCCGGTTCAATTGTCGCAAAGCCCAGCTTCAGCGAGGTAGTGGTGGGGCTGGGAGGGGACAAAGCAGCCGGCGTCACAGGTGCAAGTAGCCCCCAGGTGCAGGACGCTCCAGCTGAAAAGTCACAGCATGTGATAATTACTGGGGACTCGAATTCAAATCGATGCACAGATGCCATCAAAGAGAGGGTAAGAGGTGACAAGAGGGTTGCAGTAGGGGCGTTCCCAAGACGCGAGCTGGAAGCAGTCATGAGGCAAGCGAGCGCGAAACTCAAAACTACAGCTAATAGACGAAACGTCGTGATAATTTCAGGCGGTTTAAATGATGTCTTAAATGAAGATACAGCAGGACTAGCAACCGCACTGGCGAAAGGCGTCGATAACATGCGCGCCACTTCTCCTCGGGTACAGGTAGTGATATTGTCACGGAGTCGTGACGTGGCCGAAGACAGGAGACTTTGTGTTGGGATTTAACTGTTTATTTGGGCGAACCTGTGCCCGGTAAACGGAAAGTCCAATTACAGCAGCACTCTCGCACAGATAGCAGTCTCGAACTGATAGCGGCGAACGGAGCGTCGGCCTTCAATCAACAACTGACAAGCGGCGAAGCGCGTCGGCATTTATACTATTGCCGTCGAATGTTCTAGCGTTATCGCTGGTGGTGGCGTAGGTTCCAGAACAATCTGTACCGTTCGCACAGTGGGCGTGATCTTATCAAAATGATCTACTACAGTCCTGAACCTTCTCCAAAACTGCAGGCGCGGTTTGCGCTGAGAATCGTGTGGTGTTTTGGGACGATAACAAAAACTTGGGAAATAGAATGTGGCATTGCCCCCCTCTGAAAAAAGGCATCGTCCCGATGCTTTAACTAAAGATGAAGGTACAATAATAATGCAAGAAAGTACAATGAAGGAATTACAATACAACAATAATAAAAAAAACACTGTTTCAGTTTGTTAACGCGCATGAAACGGCTTGAGGCGCGCGACATGGACGACTTCAGGTCGCGATCGGCGTCGTTGAGAGTTCGTGTTGCCGTCGGGGACAACCTCGTAATCAAGTGGGCTGAGACGTCGAACCACCCTGTACGGTCCGAAGTACCGTCGCAGAAGCTTTTCACTTAGTCCACGTCGGCGTATCGGCGTCCACACCCAAACACGTTCACCGGGCTGGTATTTCACGAAGCGTCGTCGAAGGTTGTAACGGTGGCTGTCGGTCGTCTATTGATTCTTGATACGGAGACGAGCAAGTTGTCGGGCTTCTTCGGCACGTTGAAGATACTCGCTCACACCGAGGTTTTCTTCGTCGGTGACGTTGGGTAGCATGGCATCGAGCGTCGTTGCTGGGCTCCTTCCGTAGACCAATTTGTATGGAGATATCTGCGTCGTCTCCTGCACCGCCGTGTTGTATGTGAAAGTCACATACGAAAGAATGGCGTCCTACGTATTGTGTTCGACATCGACGTACATTGACAGCATGTCGGCGATCGTCTTGTTAAGCCGTTCGATGAGGCCGTTGGTCTGTGGGTGGTACGCTGTCGTCCGGCGGTGGTTTGTTTGGCTGTATGCCAAGATCGCTTGAGTTAAGTCGGCAGTGAATGCCGTTCCTCTGTCGGTGATAAGGACCTCCGGGGCGCCGTGACATAGGACAATATTTTCGACGAAGAACTTAGCTACCACGGATGCACTATCTTTTGGCAGGGCTTTTGTCTCGGCGTAGCGGGTGAGGTAGTCGGTAGCTACCACGATCCACTTGTTTCCGAAAGCCGACGTCGGGAATGGCCCCAGTAGGTCCATACCAATCTGCTGGAAAGGTCGGCAAGGTGGATCAATTGCCTGCAGAAGTCCCGCTGGCCTTGTCGGCGGTGTCTTGCGCCGCTGACAGTCCCGGCATGTCCTCACATAACGAGTGACGTCGGTGGTAAGACGTGGCCAGTAGTACCTTTCTTGTATCCTCGCGAGCGTGCGAGAAACACCGAGGTGCCCTGCCGTCGGATCGTCGTGCAGGGCCTGCAGGAGTTCTGGTCGCAGAGCTGAAGGCACCATAAGGAGGTACTTAGCTCGAAGCGGTGAAAAGTTTTTCTTTTGTAGAAGACCGTTTCGTAGAAAGAACGACACAAGTGCGCACTTGAATACCTTCGGGACTTCGGCGGTCCTGCCTTCGAGGTATTCTATTAGGGCCTTAAGTTCCGGGTCGGCCCGCTGTCGTTCAGCGAAGTCGTCTGTAGTGATGGTTCCCAAAAAGTAGTCGTCATCCGGGTCGTCGGGTAGCGGTTGGTTGACAGGCCCACGAGAGAGACAGTCGGCGTCGGAGTGTTTTTTTTGCCGGACTTGTAAGTGACAGTAATGTCATATTCTTGAAGTCTCAGGCTCCATTGTGTGAGGCGACCTGAAGGGTCCTTCAAGGTGGCTAGCCAACACAAGGCGTGGTGGTCGCTCACAACTTTGAAGGGCCTGCCGTACAGGTAGGGGCGAAATTTGGACGTAGCCCAGATGATGGCGAGGCACTCCTTTTCTGTTGTGGAATAATTTGCTTCTACTTTGGATAGCGATCGGCTGGCGTAACTAATAACCCTAAGTCCGTCAGCCCTCTGCACAAGAACGGCGCCAAGACCTACTCTGCTTGCGTCAGTACGTATTTCTGTCTCGGCGAATTCGTCGAAATGGGCAAGTAACGGAGGCATCTGGAGGCGATGTTTAAGCTCCTGGAAAGCGTGTTCCTGTGGCGTTTCCCACTTGAACTCCACGTTGGCCTTGGTAAGGTTAGTGAGAGGATCGGCGATGCGGGCGAAGTTTTTCACGAACCGCCTATAATAGGCGCACAGGCCCAAAAATCGGCGCACGGCTTTCTTGTCAGTGGGTGGCGGGAAGTCGGCGATGGCGGCTGTTTTCCGTGGATTGGGACGAACTCCAGACTCGCTGATAACGTGCCCCAGAAACAAGAGCTCCTCATTCGCAAATCTGTACTTTTCTGGCTTCAGTGTGAGTACGGAAGTCTTGATGGCTTCAAGTACAGCCTCAAGGCGCCGAAGATGCTCTTCGAAACTCGAGGAAAACAGGACGACGTCGTCCAAGTACACAAGGCAAGTCTGCCACTTCAATCCTGCCAGTACTGTATCTATAACGCGTTGAAAAGTTGTAGGCGCTGAGCAAAGGCCGAAGGACATCACCTTAAACTCGAAGAGGCCGTCCGGTGTTATAAACGCCGTCTTCTCTCGGTCTCTTTCGTCGACTTCGATTTGCCAATAGCCAGTCTTGAGGTCCATTGACGAAAAGTACTTGGCGTTATGGAGCCGATCAAGTGCGTCGTCTATTCATGGGAGAGGATACACGTCCTTTCTTGTGATTTTGTTTAGGCGGCGATAATCGACGCAGAAACGTAGGGTCCCATTCTTTTTCTTCTTTAACACCACGGGGGATGCCCATGGACTCTTGGATGGCTGAATAATGTCATCCCGCAGCATTTCATCAACTTGTCTCTTCATGGCCTCACGTTCTCGCGTCGAAACCCTGTACGGACTCTGACGGAGTGGTCTGGCATTTTCTTCGGTTATGATGCGATGTTTCGTGATTGAGGTCTGCCGAATTTTCAATGACGACGAAAAGCAATCTTCGTATTGCAGGAGCAGGGCCTTGAGCTGTTCTTGCTTATCGTTCGGAAATCTGGGATTGAAGTCGAAAGCTATGGGAGGGGCTTGGTTCCTCTGAGCAGGTTCCTCAGAATCGGGAGGGCGAAAGCACTGGTGGCTTCGACAATTTCTTCGATGTATGCGACCGTTGTTCCTTTGTTCACATGTTTGTACTCATTGCTGAAATTCGTGAGCATAACCGTTGCTCTGCCTCCCCGCAGCTCTGCAATTCCTCTTGCGACGCAAATATTTCGGGTGACCAACAGATGCTGACTGCCTTCAATGACGCCTTCCAAGTGAGGTGATTTAGGAGCGCCGACTGAAATAATGACGCTTGAGCGAGGCGGAATGGTGACTTGTTCTTCCAGCACATTCAAGGCATGGTGTCCTGTCGGCGTGCGCGGTGGTAGTGCTCCTTCTGTGGATAACGTTATCGACTTTGCTTTTAGGTTGATGACAGCACCGTGG